CCTAGCCTCTCTCCCTTTATTTAGACACAGAAGTTGGAATAAGTCTGACAGTCTATTTTGCAACTGTGCGCGCAAACACACACAAACGTGTGCACAGGCTGACTACTGCTACAGTTGCAAATGAAGATTTTGTCCTTTTTCTCACTCGATTCCAGACTCTTTAGGTAAGTTTTCCAGTCTTTTTAGATAATTCTATTCAAAAAATTAGTGGTTGTTTTTAAATACAATGGATAGCATTATACAGAAAACAAATTTTTATAGGTATTTATATATGACATCAGTACTGTAAGCTTATAATCAGTTCACATGTCATATACACTAATATGTACAGCTAACATCCATCATTAATTTTTTAGTGCAGGCTCTGTAAGTTACAAGATAGCAAGAACACTAATAAACCGACTCAAATTTTCACCAAAATGTTTGTCATGAAAATCTTCCTTAAAATTCAAATTCAATGTATGAAGTTCTGCCCAGTTGGCCAAAACCACCAGTTACTGGGGACACATCAACAGCCATTTAAAGGCATAGGTGTTTTGCTATTGCGGCACTGAGGTTTGAACTCGGGGCCTCACACTTGCTAAACAGGCGCTCTGCCACCTGAGCAACACCCCCAGCCAAACGCATAGGTTTTCAAACAGAAGACGTGGGTCCAAACTCCTACATTCCACTATTATTAGCAGGATCTTGCAGGTACTTTTTGTCACTATGCCCGAGCTTTGCATAGATCGAGAGGGTCGAATGAGCTACTAACTCCCTGGTATTCACAGGACTATGGTTCTGAGGAGAAAGGATGCAAATGCACAGAAGTTTAAACACAACTGATGAGAACATGAGTCTGACAGCTTCTCTCACCAACAAAACTGCATGTGGGACAGTGGGATTTTGACTGTACTTGGTCAAAACTGTGTGCAATACAGCCACGAGTGAGGTAGGCTTACTATATTGGCAATGTGCTCATTTCAGTGATGGCACATCAGGAGGGTTTTAAAATCAGTTTATTGCCATCTATAACAACCCAGCAGTTGGTCAACTTTTCCCACTTTTTACCCAGTTAAAATATATCAAAGATCAAGTTACTTATTTATAAAAGTAAAAAGTATAATCCTTAACACCATGGACATTGTTATATCTCTAACATGGTACAAAATTTAATTCCTGAAGATCAATTTTTAAGACAGTAATCATTAAGCACATTCATCTGAGATTTCCTGAGGACCTCTGCCTATTACATACCAGACACTGTACAAAGCATTTAAGAATCACAACTAGGTGGGCACTGGTGGCTCACACCTGTAATCCTAGCTACTCAGGAGGCAGAGATCAAGAGAATTGCAGTTCAAGGTCAGACCAGGCAAAAAGAAAGGCCCTATCTCAAAAACATCCTACCCCCACAAAAAAAAAAAAAAATGGGTTGGTGGAGTGGTAGAATGTGAGGCACTGAGTTCAAACCCCAGTATCACAAAATCACAACTTAAGAATCAGGAGACTTAAAATTTTTCTCATTGCAAGAATTCTTATATGCATTACTTTTACATATTACTGTAGTTTACTAGATTTAAATCTGACAATTGCATGGTTACTATAATATATAAAGAACATTAACTTTGAACTCATGTTGCATGGCTCACTTAACATCAGCTTAGACCTAAATAATGAGAACCAAATTACTTAAATGAACATTTTACAAATTTGCCACTGTGAGGTTTCAAAACGTTCCAGTTGTTCATATTCTCTTCAGAGCTAGCCTTATGATCAGTTTCTGAATCACTATTTCTTACCATGAAAGTATGTAAAACTTTCACTAAGACTATAGGGGTGGGGGTATGTTTTCTTTTAAATGGGCATATTCTAGAATTGCAGTCATTACTGTTCCTGCTTTCCTGCCAAAAGTCGCTATCAGCTATGTAAAGCCAATATAATGCAATATTAAAACATGCAAAATTCCATGAGATGTGCATGTACTATCTTTACCTTTACTTTTCACATTACATCCTCTTTTATTCATGTAAATGCAGTACAAAATAGAAAAGCATGTCCATTTGTAACATGGTATATAGACAGGCTCAGGAGGCAGAACCTTTTTCAGTAAAGGTAGGTCCAACTCCTGGTTTTGAGTTCTTTAGGCATAACCTTTGGCAACACTGGAATAAAGGTTCTTAAGTCATGGAGATGACATGACAACTGAATGAAGGATATAAAGTACTCAGAATGGCACCTGGCACATGGTAAATAAGCACTTAATTGTTAGTATGGTTTAACATCTCTGATTATGAAATGTTTTCAGTCTTATCAGTAGAATGCAACTACTTACTAGATGACTATGAACCATATACTGTAATACATGACCTAAAATTGGTAACAGGTTTCCTACCAAGACTGGGACATGTTAACCTACTCTCAAAGTCTCTCAAAGTATAGTAGACAATGATAAAAAGTTCTTTTAATATCATTCAATGTGAACATTCAAAACTAAACAAAAACAGCATTGTCTAAATTTGAACATACTAAATTATTTTCCAAGTTGAGGAACTATTTAGAAGCCTGAGGTAATGCCAGGTACATCTTCTAGAAATAGAGGTATGTTCTTATAGAAGTTCTTCTATCATTGATCCTTACCTAAGCCTTTCCTACTACCAAACATACTGGGTGAACAGAACATCAACAAGGCTTCAAGATGGCAAGGATTGTTTTGGGGATCTGGGAATGGTGTGTGCTTTGGAATACAATGCCAGATGGGTAACTCTAGCATAGTATGCATTCCTTTCTCCATTCCCTTTTTAAATTCACTGACATAAAGAATCCTTGCAATTTTAACCACTTTTTATTTTTGTGAGGCTGTGTTTCCTGATTGCAGTCAATGTTCAGTCTGCAGATAACAATTAAAAATAAATGCCACTTTAGATTAAAAAATAACAGAGCACTAACAATTGCTAAACAGAGATTACACCATTTTTGTAGCTGGAAACTATATATTCACCTTCCTTAAAACTCTCCAAGTCAAAATAATTTAGTCAAATTAAAACACTAAAAATGGAGAGAAATACCATCAATGACCTTTTGCTGAAAGATGTCAAAATGTTATCCTATGATCTTTATAAGCTGAAATATTTAAGAGCTTAAAACATAAATGTTTCACATAAGCTGTTTTTCAATGTAGCGTAGCCAGCATTTCCCAGTAACTCTATTTCAATTCAGAAAAGTGTTTTAATGTATATGTAACTTTTTTTATTAGCATGAATATCACACCTGTTTCTAAACTCTAGACCTGATTCATTACAGCCACACTTGAGACAATGACTTATTTAACTTTAATTATTTTTAATTGTTCAAACTAGTACTTAAATTTTGTTTTAATGTCTCATTTAGATTTCAAATAACTAAATTTTTTTTTTACATCTTTCATGTTCATTAACTTGGCGATATAAGCTGTCCTATTTCCCAAGATGTCATATATTGTCTAATTGGGAATTGAGGGCAATAAAAAATTATGAAATAGGAAATGCTAATACTTTCTCTGTAGATAGAACGCACTTTCCTTATAGGAAATCCCAATGCCTGTTCCATGGCACCACCCAAGTATAGCAGAAATGTTCTGAGAAAAATGTTCAACAATAGTTTTCACTGGCGTCTTACCGCATCACAGCAAGCTAGAAAATGTAGGGATTCAGAGCTTAAGGCTTATAATTCTATGGTATAGATGGAGGCAATAAAAGCATATTTGCAAATCTAAAAGGAAAATTATAATCCAAGACGCATGGGGAAAATATTTATGTGGAATTTTTAATCCATATTAGAATTCAGTTGCTGTAACTTTACCATAAATTTCAACAGAAACCATCTTCTGAAACATACATTCTAATAAATGTATCAACATTATTGATAGTCAACGGAGGGTTTGTTATTTTAACTTATTTGTAACATTTCATTTTTCTATTAAACAGAACTCTATAGTGGTTTGTCCCAATTACATATCTGAAACATTGTCTTATAAGAACAAAAATGAAACAAAATTAAATAAAATTGAAGATAAAAATACTCTGAAGTTAAAGCAAACTTTATCCTTGGTAGATCAATCAAGTAAAAAACATTGGTGACAGTTGGAAGCACAGGACAACTAACATGACTCTTCAGCACAAAGCACATCTTAGAAAACATGAAACGATGACTCTTTAAGCTATATATCCAAGAATCATCAGGTTTAAAAATATTGCTTAATCACTTTCCAACACAGCTGCAAGAACTGAAGATTTTGTTAAAACTATCAAGGTAATCATATTTATTGCATCTTTAGATTGCATTTTGAAACAGAAAACTAATAGTGTACCACAGCTTCACCAAAATATATATTTAAACTGTGTGTGTGTGTGTGTGGGGAAGGTAGGGACCTAAGATTTTTATAAACAAAATGTAGACTATATGTGCTTTTCAAAGGGGCTGAATTAAATATAACCAGCTGCCAACTTTGTGCTCTGACATACTTGAATTAGTGGGTATGTGTATACTAAATTCATTTATTCTTTTCTACAATAAATGAAATAAAAACACCACCCTATACAATCCACTATTAGCAGTTAAGTACAACAGCAAAAAATTATTGTACAATTTATACATACTAAAATATTTTCTTTCTCTAGAAATAACTCAGAACAAAACCTAATCATTTTAAGACTTATTTTGGGAAATCTCAAATTACAATAGGAAAAAACCAAATTAGGGTATGTAGAGTCCCAAACAAAGGTTCTTGGTCATAAGGCTATAAGATTAATAAGTGCAAGTGGTAGGATAAAGCATGCTCAAATTGTATGGTTGGGTCTTTGTATATTATTATCAAACCTTTAAATTAAGCAAGACTAGCTAAAGAAATGTCTTAAGCAGAGCAAGATAACTGAGAATTTTGCATTTTCTTCTGCCATTTTTGTTACCCAACTTACACAATGCGCAAAGTGCTAATAAGCAACACTACAGAAACACATTTACATCAACACTGAAGACCTGGGGAAATGAAATCCAACAATTTTATTTTAATGAGCTGTATTTCTAAATTTTTGTTTTTATTTTTTCCTGTTTTCATACAGTATTGAAAACAAAACGCGGCACATTCACATTTTTCCCGAGGAACTGTAAAGATGACCTCTACAGGGATAAACGTTGTAAAGCCTGAAGCTCGATCAACTGATGTTGAAAACTCTCAAAGGGAGATCTGAATGGTCTAGAACATGTACTGCAATTTAATAGAAGAGATGGTCGTCTTAATATTAATGATTTAAAAGAACTTCCCAGTCCATGCGAAGAGTACAGTTCAAGAGTAAATCAAATTTCTGAACGCATTTTATGCTACATATGTGTATACTTTGCGATCCTCAGGTGTTCGTGCCAAATATTCTCTCTCAATAAGTCCTTCGATACGTTTCTTAATGACAACTGGACTTGGTAAGAATCGAGCCTTCAGCTGCTGAGTTACCTAAAAAAAGAAGGCACAAAGACTAATTCTTACCAGAAAATTTTCTTTAACTATAGCATTTCCATATAAACACACAATTATTTTTTAATAGAACTGATATGTCATTCAGAGATCAAACTTTAGTGATTTTACTACTAAAGTTGAAAGTACAGATTAAAGGTTTTATTTAAAAATGTAATGTATGGTTAGAACACACTTTCCTTTTCATCAGAATGTGAAAGCTAAATTAGATTGGTAGTTAAATTTTATATACTACATTAGTATGTACCAGCTCTACCACTTCCTAGCTCTGGGATATCAGAGAACTGTGTGCAATTAGATGAGTTAGCAGATGCAGTGTCTTAGAACACTGCACATGTCCATTTCTCCAACTTCGATCAAGATCTTAAGTAGTAAATAAGAGGGCCACCAGAGAAGAATCTAAGCCTTTTCTGACCTCAAAGTTATGCTCTTTCCAATAATCAATTCTACCTCTTTCACACATAATCCATTCGCTCATAAACCAGCTTTTCTTTTACTCTGTGGATCAGGTGATTTCCCAAAGCCACAATAGACTGATGATTCTTTGAAATGTAAAATCACAGCACTTCACTCTTAATTGAAAGAATTACCCTTCTGGTACCAAAAACCTGCTCTTAAGTCACCTGAAATTCCATTCCTTTAATGCTCTTTTCTTCTAGGCTATGAATGGCTTCTTTAGATCTTTCCTCCTCATTTACAGGGACTAGCCTGCATTTCTGGTCCCTGAAGCTATACTCCCCATAACTTTCAACTCTCTTGATGCTTGTAGTCCTAGTCCATGAAAACTTAACATTCTACACCTACAGTTTCACTCTTAATCTACTACAGTTTCCTGCTGAGTAAAGGTGTAGTTCTCTTATCATTTGTGTAGGTCAGGAGTCAACAAATTGCAATCACAGGCCAAATACCAACACAAATTTATAGATTTAAGTTCAGCAAGCTGCTGCATAGCTTTCTGACAAGCTCCTTAAGTTCTTCACCTAACTGCTGTACCAGGCATAACCTCATATCCTGTTTTCCATAAGGAAAAGAGACCATTTCAGTTTGAAATTTCTCAAATTCCCCCTACTAGTTATGTACATCTATCCACACTTGTCTCCTTTCTTAGCACATAGCTCTATACCCTTTCTTGGGCTCTCAGGAGGAGACATATTCAGGAATGTCCACCATTCATCTATATATTGTCTATCCTTTCTTTTCCTAGATTTTGATATTCCCTCATCCCGTTTTATCCCCCTTTTGTTTTTAAGATTCCTTTTCCTTATCCTTAGGATTAAGTGTCTTCAATTATCTTCCCATCTAGGGGGTAAAAAAAAAGATCCAGAACCCCCCCAAATTATCACTTAATCTTCTAGTACTGTTCTCTCTCTCCCCTTTCCCATGAGCTAATATGTAAAAGCACAAGCCACTCTTCATGGTTTCCATCTCCATTTACTCCGTAAGGCACCCTTACCAGTCCAATGAAAATGTCTGGGAAAGTTAACTAGTCATCTAATTGCCAATGTCTTAAGTGTTCATTAATCTTGGTCTTTTCCTGATTTTCCAAATTACTAACAAAATTCTCTTCTTCTGCCCATGTGACATTCTCTTTATCTTTTTCACTTTTTGGCAATGCTCCCAAATTTGAACAAGCTACAGAATCACTTAAAATGCTTGCTAAATGCTAGGCCCTAACCCTAGAGTTTCTGGTTCAGGTCTGATAGAGACAGAGAATCTTTCACAGGTGATTTAATGCAGCTGGGCCAGACAGTACACCTTGAAAACCAGTGCAAAAGGCTTTCTTCCAATGTCAATGTCACATGCTGTTCTCGTTGCTCCTTACATGGTGAGGAGGGGTCTGGTCCATCACTCTTCTCCTCCTGCTCTCCATCCTGTCCCTGAGCAATTTAATCTTAGCCCATGGCTTTCACTACATTCAGATGTAGTGAATTCTCAATTCAACTTCTAACCCAAGTTTCAACTGTCCCAGATGTGTGAACGCACGACGCAGTCGACTATACAGAAGAGTGTTTACTCACACCCGGACCACCAGCAGCACCCTGCCCCCCTCCCTGCTTGGTGAAAGGGACCTACCTAACTGCCACTCAAGCCAGACATCTAAGAGGCTCAATAGGTCTTTCTTATTTCTCATTATCAGTTAGTGAACCCCATTAATTCTCTTTCAGTTATCTTTTCCCCTTTTGTTTTAAAGCTTTTAATACCAAGAGTTATGTGATGGCAGTTTCAATTAACTGAATATAGTACTTCCCTAAATTTGTTTGTATTGTTTTGCTTTTTTTTTCTGTGAACCCAGTTACTTGAAGTGTACTCACCTCTGCTACTAAAACATTGTGCTGCATCTTCTTTCTAGATTTCATTATCCGCACTATAGCAGCTTCTATCTCATGTTTCCTGTCATCATCTACTTTCTGCCTTGTTTCTTTCCTTTCTGGATCAGATTCACCTTGTTTGGCAGCAACTAAAATAGAAATAAAGGTATTTATCATAAACATAATGAAAAAAGTTGGTTTACATGAAAATACAACTTATCCACACAGAAAAATCAGTTTCAACCTCTAAACATACACACACACTTACTCAACAAATAAAATTCAGTTTTCACTTCAATTTTAAATTATTATTCTCAAAACTTAGGAATTTAATTTAGAAAGAAAATATTTCATTTTTATAGAATAATTCCTTTCTTAGAAGATAAATGATAGGTAGTTATCATCAGTAGTAAAAATGAGCAGTATACTATTTGCATTCCTTGGGATTTCCAGAGGTTTAATTAGTATTTTACCATCATCATGGCTCTAAGTTACATTTCCAAAAGTATCTCAGATAAGGTGAAATGTATTGTCACCTGCTAACTTAAAATGTAGCTGTAATCTCTAAGACATTAACAAGAGGAAAGAGCAAGTACTGTCAAGGTTCTGTTAGCTAATGCAGTAACTGAAAAGTACCATTAGGATATCAGTAAAAGGAACTCCCTAACAGTGAAATAATTCATCAATACCTCTTGCCAAAAATCTCTTTATATTCTATTGTGCAACAGTATTTTGTCACACATTTACAACACAATTATACTGTATTCCAGGCAATGAGAAAGCCTTACTTTGTCCTTCCCTATAATCTCCAAAGGAACTGCTGCAGGATGAAAGACAGAAGTCCCTTTCTTCTATGACTTTGCTTTAATTGAAGTAGCAAAGAAAGAAAACTGGTAACTTTTTGTTGTTGTTATTTGGTCACTAAAGGAGGTAGATGTGAAATTTCTGGAAGAAGAAATTGGAAAGTTTAAAAAAAAAAAAAAAGCACACGGAACATTGCTGACTTAGGCATGGGCACAGCCATGAGATAGTAGACTTAATTTAGAAGATCACTCTGGTGTGTACAACCATTCATTTTCTAATTAGAACCCTTGAATAAATACACTGCTTTCAGTGTCATTTGCTAAGATAATCAGTATCTTAGCAAGAAAGAATAAAACTAGACAAAAAGTCTGCACAAAGGAAGAATAATGCTTTTCCATTGACAAAATAGCCAATGTCATGGAAAAAAAAGATACTGGCGTAGATTAAATGGAACTAAGGAAATATTAAAATAAACTGTAATTTGGAAACCTTGATACAATCTTGGATCCAAAAACTAGACATAAAAGGAATTTTTGAGACAACCGAGACCATATAAATGTGAGTGATATACAGATAATGTGGAATTATTGTCTTGAGTGTGAAGTATCATGGTGATATAGAGTATTATAATGATGGTCTAAGGAGATGTACTGAAGTATTTGGAAGTGTTAAGACATTTGTGAATTACAGTGATGTTAAAAATACATATTTATGTGGATACACACACACACACAGAAGGGGAAGAGAGAAAGCAAATGTGGCAACATTTAATTTTTTTTTATCTATTTGTTATTATTTTATTTTACTCATATGTGCATAGAGTGTTTGGGTCATTTCTCCCAGGGCAACAGTTTAAAGATTGTTTAGGTAAATGTAGATCATACCCATACTGACTGATGTCCATTATTGTTTTTTCGCCTTTGTGGGTTTCAAAATATTTAAAATAAAAAGTTGGAGAGAAAAAAGAAATAATTATTTTAAACAATCCATTTGGCCAACTGGAATTGGTTACCTAAACAGGTGTACTCAGGAACACGCAGTCATATATCTGCATTATGTTTTTGAAAACTGTGAGTACAGAAGTTCATTCCTAGATCGAGTGTTAAGATAGTACTGTGCACCAAGGGGAGTGTAACAGAAGGTGCTTGAATATGTGTCTACATATGCATCTGTATGTACGCTGGTGGGGGGAAGCCTAAGAAGGCAAGTGGAGATGGTGATGGATATGAGAATGCTGGTGACTTACCATGAACCTCATTCTTTTTAAAATTAAAAAGTAAAAACTTATTTGCTGAAATTTATATTGATGGCAATAGAAAAAAGCAGAACAAATATATATCTGAGTTATCTGATTATATTACTGAGCCTTTGACAATTTAAGAAAACTGATTTGGTTTTAATATTCATTACCAAAGAGAAAGTTTTCACTTAAAATATTGGTGCCAACATCACCTAGAACATTCCAAAATGAAAAACATTTCTTACAGAATTTTATCACTGAAAAGAACTTTAAGAGATCATCCAGACAAATTCTTCATGACTGGATTTTATCATACCTAATGTATCACACATGTACATGCATGCTCACGTACACACAAAAAGCATGTATGCACACTTAACAGCAAAACTAAAACTCATGAAGAGATTGGTTTTTTTGATAATACTATACCCTCCCTATAACATTATGCTGGACATGACAGAAACTGGGATTACAAGGACAACTAATTTATGATAAGCAAGATGAAGCTAGGTAATTCAGATGTCTATCTGCACATATTTCCCCCCAAACCTAAGATACAAGGGAGCCCTGAAATCTAAAACCTGTTTCTGTCAAAATCTAGTCATACATATTGCACTGGAGGAAAAATGAAATTTTATTTCATGATACTCATTAACATTTTTGTTTTTTAACATACATGATGATTTCAATAATACGGTTTTTAACTATGGGACAAAGGAATCAAGACTTTAATAGAAACCATTCTGCTTCACAAATCACGCATACAGAATCAAAAAGGTCAGAAAGGAAAACAAAAGTGTAGTCATTAAGAAATATTATTCTAAAGCCCTGTTTTATTACATTTATATTAACTGCAATGGATAAATTAGTAGTACTAGTACTAGTTTTGAAACCACGTAGCAAAATGCATATTAGTTTTAAACACAGGCAAGAAAGGGGTGCCTATTTTTCTATCTAAATGCATAGACCCCTGGCAAACCTGACTAAAATGAGGAGAGAAAAAACCCAAATTAGTAGAATTAGGAATGCAAAAGAGGAGATAACAACAAACACCATGGAAGTCCAGGAAATCATCAGAGACTACTTTGAGAACCTATATTCAAATAAATTTGAAAATCTTAAAGAAATGGACAGATTTCTAGATACATATGATCATCCAAAACTGAACCAAGAGGAAATTAATCACCTGAATAGACCTATAACACAAAATGAAATTGAAGCAGCAATCAAGAGTCTCCCCAAAAAGAAAAGTCCAGGACCTATGGATTCTCTGCTGAATTCTATCAGACCTTTAAAGAAGAACTGATACCAACCCTCCTTAAACTGTTCCATGAAATAGAAAGGGAAGGAAAACTGCCAAACACATTTTATGAAGCCAGTATTACACTTATCCCAAAACCAGGCAAAGACACCTCCAAAAAGGAGAACTATAGGCCAATCTCCTTAATGAACACTGATGCAAAAATCCTCAATAAAATAATGGCAAACCGAATTCAGCAACACATCAAAAAGATTATTCACCATGACCAGTAGGCTTCATCCCAGGGATGCAGGGTGGTTCAACATACGAAAATCAATAAACGTAATAAACCACATTAACAGAAGCAAAGACAAAAACCACTTGATCATCTCAATAGATGCAGAAAAAGCCTTTGATAAGATCCAACATCATTTCATGATAAAAGCTCTAAGAAAACTAGGAATAGAAGGAAAGTTTCAACATTATAAAAGCTATATATGACAAACCTACAGCCAGCAATTATACTTAACGGAGAAAAACTGAAACCATTCCCTCTAAAATCAGGAACCAGACAAGGATGCCACTATCTCCACTCCTATTCAACATAGTACTGGAATTCCTAGCCAGAGCAATTAGGCAAAAGAAGGAATAAAAGGAATACAAATAGGTAAAGAAACTGTCAAAATCCCTATTGCAGACGACATGATCCTATACCTTAAAGACCCAAAAAAACTCTACTCAGAAGCTTCTAGACATCATCAATAGCTATAGCAAGGTAGCAGGATATAAAATCAACATAGAAAATCATTAGCATTTCTATACACTAACAATGAGCAAACTGAAAAAGAATGTATGAAAACAATTCCATTTACAATAGCCTCAAAAAAATCAAATACCTAGGTGTAAACCTAACAAAAGATGTGAAAGACCTCTACAAGGAAAACTATACACTTCTGAAGAAAGAGATTGAGGAAGACTATAGAAAGTGGAGAGATCTCCCATGCTCATGGATTGGTAGAATCAACATAGTAAAAATGTCGATACTCCCAAAAGTAATCTACATGTTTAATGCAATTCCCATCAAAATTCCAATGACATTCATTAAAGAGATTGAAAAATCTACTGTAAATTTATATGGAAACACAAGAGGCCACGAATAGCCAAGGCAATACTCAGTCAAAAGAACAATGCAGGAGGTATCACAATACCTGACTTCAAACTATATTACAAAGCAATAACAATAAAAACAGCATGGTACTGGCACAAAAACAGACATGAAGACCAGTGGAACAGAATAGAGGACCAGATATGAAGCCACACAACTATGACAACTTATCTTTGACAAAGGAGCTAAAAATATACGATGGAGAAATAGCAGCCTCTTCAACAAAAACTGCTGGGAAAACTGGTTAGCAGTCTGCAAAAAACTGAAACTAGATCCATGTATATCACCCTATACCAAGATTAACTCAAAATGGATCAAGGATCTTAATATCAGACCCAAACTCTTAAGTTGATACAGGAAAGAGTAGGAAATACTCTGGAGTTAGTAGGTATAGGTAAGAACTTTCTCAATGAAACCCCAGCAGCACAGCAACTAAGAGATAGCATAGATAAATGGGACCTCATAAAACTAAAAAGCTTCTGTTCATCAAAAGAAATGGTCTCTAAACTGAAGAGAACACCCACAGAGTGGGAGAAATATTTGCCAATATACATCAGACAAAGGACTGATAACCAGAATATACAGGGAACTTAAAAAACTAAATTCTCCCAAAACTAATGAACCAATAAAGAAATGGGCAAGTGAACTAAACAGAACTTTCTCAAAAGAAGAAATTCAAATGGCCAGAAAACACATGAAAAAATGCTCACCATCTCTAGCAATAAAGGAAATGCAAATTAAAACCACACTAAGATTCCACCTCACCCCTGTTAGAATAGCCATCATCAGCAACACCACCACAACAGGTGTTGGCGAGGATGCGGGGAAAAAGGAACCCTCTTACACTGTTGGTGGGAATGTAGACTAGTACAACCACTCTGGAAAAAATTTGGAGGCTACTTAAAAAGCTGACATCGATCTACCATTTGATCCAGCAATACCACTCTTGGGGATATACCCAAAAGACTGAACAGGTTACTCCAGAGGCACCTGCACACCCATGTTTATTGCGCACTATTCACAATAGCCAAGTTATGGAAACAGCCAAGATGCCCCACCACTGACGAATGGATTAAGAAAATGTGGTATCTATACACAATGGAATTTTATGCAGCCATGAAGAAGAACGAAATGTTATCATTCGCTGGTAAATGGATGGAATTGGAGAACATCATTCTGAGTGAGGTTAGCCTGGCCCAAAAGACCAAAAATCGTATGTTCTCCCTCATATGTGGACATTAGATCAAGGGCAAACACAACAAGGGGATTGGACTATGAGCACATGATAAAAGCGAGAGCACACAAGGGAGGGGTGAGGATAGGTAAGACACCTAAAAAACTAGCTAGCATTTGTTGCCCTTAACGCAGAGAAACTAAAGCAGATACCTTAAAGCAACTGAGGCCAATAGGAAAAGGGGAACAGGTACTAGAGAAAAGGTTAGATCAAAAAGAATTAACCTAGAAGGTAACACCCACGCACAGGAAATCAATGTGAGTCAATGCCCTGTATAGCTATCCTTATCTCAACCAGCAAAAACCCTTGTCCCTTCCTGTTATTGCTTATACTCTCTCTACAACAAAATTAGAAATAAGGGCAAAATAGTTTCTGCTGGGTATTGGGGGGGGGGAGGGAGGTGGCGGAGTGGGTGGTAAGGGAGGGGGAGGGGGCAGGGGGGAGAAATGAACCAAGCCTTGTACGCACATATGAATAATAAAATAGTAACAATAAAAAAAAAAAGGGGGTGCCTATTTTTCTATCTAAGTGCATAGAAACACCAAAGTCTTACATCATGGGGTTTTGTTGGGGGCGGGGCGGGGGGGAGGGCGATACTGAGGATTGAACTCAGGGCCTACCACTTGCTAGGCGAGCACTCTATCACTTGAGCCACTCCGGTAGCCCAAGTCTGACTTTGCATCAAGTCTATGATGAATAGTATTTTCACTATCAACTTAAAAGTAAGACTGTACTAAAGACACTGTTTAAAACAGTGTCCTTTCTGTTTAAAATTAAGAGTAAATACTGGTTTTAAGATTTTAAAATTTTGAAAATATTTATTAACATAAGTAGCTATATCTAAAGATCAAATTTTGTAGTTAACTCCCAATTTTGAAAAATGTGTAAAATTGCATTAAAAATTTACTTTTACTAATTAGTTAGCCAGTTAAAAACAGTACTAACATGTTCACAAAATTGTTTTTCACTTGTTGAGAAACATAAAGTACACTGTTCACACTATGAATTACTTTTAAAAGTTCTTACTGTACTTGGATTCAACAGCATTCTGACTCAGACACATATCAAAATAAGAGTTGCTTTGCTTCTCATGCCTAAGTATCACACAACAGCATGAGTATTACTTTTGTTAACAATGAAAAGCATTACTTTTTAAAGAAAGAAATCTAACACATGACTTTTTTCTACAGAGAAAATACATAATTCATTAAGAGGAAAAAAATAATTCCAGATACCTGTTTGAATCTTGACTCTGTGTAGTTTGGACGTGAACTGATCATTAACTGTAAATATGTGACCATTTTCTATTTCCTTTGACTTTGGTTCTTTTGTAAGAACCCGCTGTGTTGGTTTGCCACAGGCAAGGGACTGTAGGGCTCTAACAAGTTCTCTTTCGGGGATATCTGTCTCTTGTTGAATTTCCTGAAATTTCAACAAATCAACATAATTAGACTTTTCAAAGTAGATTAGTTAATTAGCTAGTAAACTAACGAACTAGAGGTAATCCCATTAAAGAAATAATTTACAACCAAGAATCCCCTGACTATCATGACTCATTACTAAAGTATCAATATATGAACAAACTAGAGGAAAACGTGATTCGAAAGACACACAGATTTTTGTCCAGGAAATATAATAACTACTCTAAATGCCACCCACAGCCATTATTAGGAATTTGCTTCAGTTTCAGGTAAAAGTAAACTGTTAAACATGTTTTGTTAGTTTAAGAAATACTTTACCATCTTCTTTCCAAGTTTACCCACACTACTGTATTGCTTAGCAATTTCTTTCATAGTAAGGAACAACATAAACCTTTGCTCAGGCCTTCCATCATAAAATCAAATTTAGAACTCAAGTTGACCATACTGCCTGTGTGGCAAATGAAAAATTTAAAACCTGGAAACTAACACAGAGCATGAAAACCAGTAAATCTGCCTTGAAGTTCAGGTAATAACTTTTGCTACACATGAGTAACATATAATACTCAGAGGAAAAAAAAGAAAAAGAAAAGTAGGTCAATAGGACAGCAAGAGAGGTGTACACTTGACTTAGCCCTTATGTATCTATGGGAACATGTGATTGACTAACAGTAAGGATTCAGACAAATGTGAATTTCAGTGCACTAGCACATTCCTCTGCTTCAAATAATCTGTGATTATGTATTTACTACTATTTTAGACATTTCAATTACTATACAAGTTAATCTCAGAAAATTAAATGGGTGCCATTAATTATTAGAATAGAAATGGTAATTATTATGCACATGATAAAATGACCTACTTACGTGTTTTAATCACTATTCAACTATATTCAAAGAACTAGAAACACCTTCCTAGTGATATTTTAAAATTATGATAATTCCAGATTAAGTATGGCAACTCACTAGGTAACCTTTTACTACCCATCTCTACATGCACATTTTAATACAAACACATCCACTTACATACCAGTTATTCGTGAAAAACTGAATTGGAATCCTAACATGGGACTTTTTTCTACAAATTTTTTTTCAGATTTTCCATGTGAGAAAAGAGATTAGAGCTACAGGGAATTCTGTACTGTTCTGTCATGGTACAGAGGAAGAATGTGACTGTTGTACATGCATTTATGACTTTGAACATAACAGGTTTTATAAAGCAGATTTCTATGAATGCATTTTCTTCCTCAAAATTATAAACATTTTGTATTTGATGGATACTAACAAACTGTCCTTTAAGTTGCTTAAAAAGTTAACCCCAAAACAATAGTGCATGAGTATCCATTTCTTCACACATTCTTCAACACCAGATTTTTTTTTGTTTTGTCTATGGATCAGACTAAAAATGGTATTTTAATTTGTATTTCCAGGATCACTGGAAAATCATTTTATATTTTCAGAATATCTAACTCTTCTTTTATGTTTGTCTATTTATATTCCTTGCACATTCTTCTACTCAATTATTTTGTATTGATTTGTTGGTGCTATTATCTTTCATCTTTTGATAACACATCAGATGGATGTTTCACTATTTTTCATACAGTTAACATTTGCTAGTCTTTCCTTTAGTGGATTTTGCTATAGGTTTCTTTTAAAAGCCCATTCTCCAATTAAGAGTATTAAAATATTCTATATATTCTTCTATTGCTTTTGAAGACTTATGTTTGTATTTTGATTTTCACATCTATCTAGGATTTAATCTTGTATGTGTGACATATGGAACTAAGGTCCCCATACTACCCCCCTTCCATCCATACTTCATTTGCTTTTGTTGTCTTCCTGGTATATGTCTTCTACATTTCTTGTTAGAATGGTTACTAGGAAGGTACATCCTTTTCCTCATGCCATTTCCTGATGAATGCTGGTTTATAGGAAATATGATTTTAGATAGAACTCTTCTCAGTGAATGCTTTCAGTTGAATTGTTACAAATTTCTAAGTTGGCAATCATATGTTTACAAATTTAAAAAATGTTGTCAATTCCTTCCTGATAGTTATAAATTTCACTCTTTTTTCTTTTGTTAGTTTCTTAGGACCTGCAGTGAAAGGTATAATAGTAGTAGCAGAGGTAGGTATTCTTACCTTATTTCTGACTTTCATAAGGTATCTAGTATTTTACTACTAACTACTGTTCTGCTTAAACCTATCATTAATAGAACTTCCTAACAGTAAGGGCACTTCATCCTATTGTTTGGTGGCTAAGAGTCCCACATTTAAGGAACTGGGACTGACTTTTTAAAAAACAACTTTGTAAATCTATAAAGATCATCAATTACTTAATTTTACTATTATTGAATTTTAAATAACTGTCTTTTAGCAAAATTCCTTATGTGAGCCCATCTTTGTATTCCAAGGACGTAAACACAGTGCATCATTCTTTCAAGACACTACTGAGTATGATTTATTATTATTTTACCTAAGATTTATGCATTTACAGTAGCTCCTCCGTTGCTTGCTTTTTGGTATTTTCCTTGTTCAGTTTTGGTAATAAGGTTATGACAGCTATCTGAATTTCTCAAAAGAAATATGTATATTTTTATTTCTGAGTCCAAAGTGCTTTGAACAGCTTTCAATTTAAACTTACTAATTGTGTTATTCAAACCATCTATATCCTGCTCTTAATTATCTAGTTAATAGATTTAAAAGGAATTTCTAAGATTGCAGAATTATTTATTTCTCCATGTATGTCCAATCAGTTTCCCTTACATATTGTGAAGCTACACCAAAAATGATTATGATAAATTCTTTATGAAATATTTAGTGGTTTTCTGTTTCAATTTTGTCTGAGATTAAGGTCCATAATTAGCCTTTACATTTGAATGCATACCTTTTTCAAAACTAAATGCTACTTATTAAAACCCAAGGTATTAGATTACTACTGTATATGTTTCTTATTTTTAGCGGTCTTAGATCACAATAAACTTTGACTCATGCAAAACTTTTATAAAAAGAGGAAAAGACTTCAGCATCCTTACTACTATGGGCTTAATTTGATAATACAAACTAATCCACATGTTATAGTCTATAACGACTCTATCATGTTTTAACCTGTGTGATTCTCCCACCCTTTCAGGTCTTGGAAGACCACACAAATAAGGAAGAGATAATATGTGATATCCAAGGCTTAAAACTGTAATGATACTATAGTTTCTGCCTGGGACACTAAGACTGCTTACTCTGGGGAAACCTAGTTACCAGGAAGTGAGGACAATCAAACAGCCAAATAGAAAGGCCTATGTGAGACAAACTAAGAACAGATAGAACAAATTTCCCACCTTGGAAATATGTTCTTCAGCCCCAAACAATTAGACAACTGTAGCCCAAACTAATATCTAAATGCAACCTCAAGAAGACCCCAAGCAGCTGGGATGTAACTCGGTGGTACAGTGCTGCTTGCCTAGCATGTGCGAGGTTGTGGATTCGATCCTAGCACCAAAAAGAGAAGACAAAAAAAACTGAAGACCCGAAGCAGTACCATACTGAGCTCTTCCCAAATCCCTAAATCACAGAAACCACAAGAAATAATAAACTGTTAGTGGATGTTGTAAATCACAAAGTTTTGAGATTTAGTATGTAGCAACTATGCCAACATAAATATTAAATAAATATTAACATAAAGATAAGCTTCCATTAAAATTACTAAATACTTGTAACCACCTCTTCTAATCTGAAGATTCTATGAAAGAACTAGCTAATGAAACTTTGACAGACTGACTGTAAAGTAACAAACGATGGAAGTAAAAATAAATTTCCTGAGTCTTCTCATAATGGATTTGAGGTGTGAACACCAGCAAGCTTTGGAGTCACAGACATGGATTGCCTGGCTATCTACATACACTATGCTCTGGCTTCTGGTTTGTGATAATGCTAAAACTGGCAACATTAGAGGAATTTTCTACTTAAATTTTACCTTCTATTTAATATTTGCTCACTAGCATTAATGATTCCAAGCCAGTTGGAAAAAGTAAAGTTTGAATCACTAAAACTTATAGTGTTGGAAAATGAATTGATTTTTTTTTCAGATATCCCATTATTTTTCCAGCTCTTTATAAACTAGGACTCTGAAAATTAGACTTAGCAGTTATCAAGTAACGTATTTTGCTAAACATGTATTACCCATGAGAGCTGAAGTTTGAAAATACAAGAAAACAGCTGTTGAAGGTAATTCCAACTCTGTTTAAAAAACCTTGTATAGAAATCTGAGTAAAATACTCAATATTCTTGGGACTCAATCACACATAACGACTGGGTACATAAAAATTAAAGTTATTTCCTAGGTAAGAAACACCTGATAAATATAAACAGAAAAACCTCTTGACTTAGTCACTGAACTAAAACACTTGGGTTTAAAACATATCCTTTAAACTCATCACAGAAAACTGGTCATCTCTTAATTATGTTCAGCATATAAATGGGAGCATGGAGATTAGTACTAAAATAAGTCTAAAATTTAATCTTCTTACTCTTCATTTCAAATTCATTTTTTCTTCCTATGTCTATGTGTACCTGAAAACTGCCTTTAAATTAAGTATAAATATAGTAGTAACTTTAAAAGCATTTCAAAATACTCATTATTTTAAATTTAAACTCAAGAGTCTCAAGATTTTCATTTCAACCCCAGGAGGTCCTTTAAAGACACAGGAAAAGGTTAACTGAATTTAAGGTAATGAAAGAATCATTTGATGGGGAAGAAAGAAAAGGAAAAAGGAAATAAAAGCAAGCATATTACAATAATTTGTTATTCTAAGTGAAAAATGAGTGCAATAGAAATTTGACTATTCTATCAAAGACAATGTAAAATTGGCACAAGGACACAGAAATCAAAGAAACAGACATACCCACCCATTTATGACCAATTGTTTTTCAAAAAGGTGCCATGATAATTCAACAGGAAAAAAATGTTTTCAACAAATGATACTAGAATGAGCAACAGACTATGTGTGAGGATTTAATTAACACCTACCATATAAAAAATTATGATTGCACACCTAAGTTTAAAAGCTAAAATTATAAAATGCCTAGAAGAAAACGTAGAAGCAAATCTTTGCAATTTCAGGGTAATAATAATTTCTTAGGGCACCAAGAGTGAACTATAAAAAGAAAAAAATGACTTACTGAACCGTCAATGTCAAAAAATTCTGCTTAAAAGATACCATGAAAAAACAAGCAATAGACTGAAGATTCACAGCACAAATGCTGACAAAATACTTGTATCAAGAATTTATAAAGCACTTTTATAGTTTAGTAATAGTTCAAAAAAGCTATGAACAGATACCTAACCAAAAAATATCTAAGTGGCTAATAAAAGATGCTAACATCATTAGTCATTTAAGAAAAATTACACGCCAACTAAAATTCTAAAACTAAAGACCACAGAGGATGTGGACTAACTGGACCTCTTTTTCACTGCTGGTAGGAATACAAAGTGGTACAACTGCTGTGGGACAGTATGGCAGTTTCTTAAAAAGTTAGACATACAGCTCTACTCATAACAGCCCAAATCTTGTACCAACCCAAGTGCTCTTCAAGTGATCCGGTACAGAAAATACAGCACATCCATATAATAGAACACTGAGCAGTAAAAAGAATGAACTACTGACACCATACACTAGGAATGAATCTCAAAAAATACTGTACTATATGAAAGAGGCTGGGCACAAACACCACATATTATATGATTCTTTAAAAAGCAGATCACTGGTTACCTGGGGCTAGGGTGGTAGAAGAGAACTGATTATAAATGATTAAAAGAAATATGGGGTGGTATTTGTGACTGTAGTAATAATTACGGAGGAGCAATGTTTCAAGCTCATCATATTATGTACTTATATGGGGTTTTTAATATGAAAATTGTATTTCAATAATGCTGACTTAAAAAACAAACAAACAAAACAACCCAGTAACATATCATGTTCACACATAGTCCACGTTTACACACTTTTCGCTAAAGGTATTCAAAGAGATTCTCTTAAGGTTACTCCAACAAGAATTAGAAGTAATACAACTGGTTAAAATGCACATAACCACAACCCATTACCTCAAATGTGTACTTTTCTCGATTATTAAAGAGCATTAATATGGTCATCTGGAAAGTGGAGACTTGCAATATGTGCTTTCGTGTATTAGAGCCAGTTACTTGTGCCCCTCCAACACCAACTTCAGATCCATCTTCCTGTTTGATTTAAAAAAAAAAAAAGTAAACGGAATTATCTCCTAATAACTTTAACAGTATGTTTTCAGAACTCCTGTAATCTCCAGCCACCCTCCCTAGCAACAATACTATATAGCTCCTTCCTATATAAAAAGTCAATCTACACACACGCAGTTTTTACTTAGGACTATCCATTCCCCCATCATGTGAACATTTTAATGTTGCTAAGTAATTAATCAACAATTCTCTAATTTAAAGCTAAAATTACCATAGCAGTGCACAGAAGGATGACAATAAATGCACATATGAAACACCACTGCTGTTACATCACCACCAAAAGTAATAGGGTTAGGTTTCTTTTTGTTTGATTTGACTATAGTAAAAGATCAAAAAGTAACGTAGACCAAGGAGAGAAAACTGCCATTCTCAAACCTGTTCCTGATCTGAGATTTAAAGCAGAGCCTTATATCCTCAATAATTAGCACTAACGCTACTAAGTGCATGTTAAAAAAAGAAAAAAACCCTACTGATCAGATTAATAAACCTTCAAGAAATACTATTTAGAATGACCTCTCCTTAAAAAAAAAAAAAAAAAGAAAAAGAGTAATTTTTTTTTTTCCTGTACTGGGGTTTGAACTCAGGACCTTGCCCTTGCTAGGCAGGCGCTATGCCACTGGCCTTTGTTGTGTTAGTTATTTTTCGAATAGGGTGTTATGTTTGCTAGGATGGCCTGAACCACAATCCTATCACTTCTGCCTCCCATGTAGCAAAGATGCTAGTCAGGCAATATCATGCCTACCTTATTGGCTGAGATGGAGGGGCGGGGGGAATGTCTCACTAACTTTTTGTCCAGGCTAGACTAGAACCACGATCCTCCCAAACTCTACCTCCAGAGCAGCTACGATTACAGAAGTAAGCCACCGCACCAGCTAAAAGTCTAAACTTTAGTCTCAGCCTTCCCACTCATGCTTAAATACACAATAGTGTCAAATATTATTCACTAAATAAACTGTAAAGGATTTTCCCATTTCACTATGAAAACTACAGTATTTATACACACTTTCAACAATACTGTATTTCATTGTTATAGCAACTCATCACATAAAAGTATAAGATTCTAATTAAAATCTAAAATAAAACTCTTAATTGCTGTTTATTTTTCTTCAATCATCTTCTAGAAGCTTAGTATCAATTTTCAATTTTAAGGCAAATGATTGATTTGATTCATACCAAGTAATGAAAAAAAAAACATATTCTAAGCTTCACAACTACTTTTTAAAGAGGAAAACAAAAACTGTGCATTACTAATTCTTTTTAAATGATTCCACTAACATTTGTCCATCTCACAAATCTCAACTGTTAAAACTTTCATGGTTTTGACTTATTAGAAATAAGGATTCTAAGAGACAGAATTTTGAAAAGGGGCCCATGGCTTTGTATGCCCTCAAACCAACTTCTATCATACTATTTTACACACTACAGTCTTAAGTTTAATTTTAAAAATGAAATATGTAATTAATCTTACCTTATTACTTAAGGAAGCCTACTGGTATAATCATATTTTCAAATGAAGTTAGCAAGTGAAAGAACAGAGGTAATAAAACAAAAATTTTTAACATATGAGATAGGTAAAGTAAGAGAAACAGTTGACAGAGATCAACATAAATCACAAATGAATTCTGTAAGCGCATATGAAGTTATTCAGTATGTTCAAATTATCAGTATTTACCTTTTTAACTGGACCATAAAAGGTGGCATTGAGATCTGCAGAACCCATATGATGCTGGAGTGTGAGCTGTCGCCCACTGTGTTTGGCTAAGTAGAACCTTGGGAAAAATCAAACCAGGTTTTAGAGAATCATACACTTACACATAGGAAATAGCAAACTAGATGATAACGACCCATTATCAGCATACTAAGTGATTTTGTACACTTTGCTCCATCCTACTGCTCAGACTGTTGTTCATGATATCAGCTTCACAGTAACCCAAAATTAATTTATCCTAAGCCAGTGGCAGACATTTACTGTACCAAAATACCCTAATAACTATCCACTAATGCTGTATCAATAAAATACTCCTCTGAAAAGCTTTTTGCAACTCATTCTTAACATACTAAAAAATAAACTCTCCTTCAAAATGAGGTTAAAAATGAAGTATATTCATCCTCAATTAGGAACACCATTAATGCTAAAATCGATTTCAATTGCAGGCAATTATTTATACAGTCTCATTTATGTTTACCTTCTGAATATCTCAAAAGCGTGTCTGGGTGCTGGTGGGATGTTGCACTTTGGTGTGGCTGACTGAGTGGGCCAATATCCCGTTGTGAGAACCCGGACTGTGAGATCAACACCACCTAAAGACACCTACACAAAACAGAAACAGTCCCCTAAAATTAACTAGAATTTGTTCCATATAGACTCTGTTAGAATTATTAAAGTATCAATATCAAAGTGGTTATCTCCATGGTCCAACATCTGGCAAATAAGACAGATCTTCTTAAAGTTTGGACCTATCTAGTATTTTCCAAAGTTTAACTATCCTGGCAAATAATTATAATTACCACTTAAGATGTTAAAAATATTGAACAAAGGATAATTCTTAGCATGTGAAGAAAGCTGGGTATCATTGAGAATGACAAAATTTTGGTCTTTCAGGTTTTTTTTTTTTTTAAATAAAATGCAATGGGTCCTGTCAGTATCACTTTAGAGAAAATCTACAATAGTATCTTCTCAATCATTTTTTAAATGAGACTACTCTTTTCCTACTACAGATTTCTGAGGTAGCTACATATTTACTTGTTTATCATCTATTTCCCTGTTCAGAATATAAGTTTTAGCATGGCAAGAATGTCAGTTTCATTCTCTGTTCTATCCCCAGTAACCCAAAGAACTATGAGTCTAGTAATGGTTAGTTATCTACTTTTAGTCGTCTCTAATATTTTGAAACCATTCAGTGTATGCTCAAAGACAGCACACAACAAGGGCAAGTGCAGAGTAAAAGCACCAGTAAAGTCTGTCAGGACAGTATATGATTTGCTGATATGAACAAATAGAACTATGATGGCAACATGGCTTTCTTGTCCCTGATAGTTTTAAAAATAAAATGCAGGGGGGAAATGCACAAATACCTAAAATTTCTTTTAGCACTATAAATAAAATACATCACAGGTACTATTAGAATTTTACAGAAAGTACGTGTGGTATGACTTCTGAAAGTGAATCAAAGAGCCAACTGTCTTGGACTATTTTAACCTCTTAGAAAGCTACAGAGAATATTGTGATAGAGAATCCATGATAGTCTTTCTAATGTAGATTAAGGTTTAGGAGACTTAAAGCTTAAGGTCTTTTGCATAAGCAAAAATTTAAACAGTCATTGCATATAAAAAAATGGTGAAGGGATTAGCAGATAAGTAACTCTGAATATCTGGATAAGTATGCTACTCACTGTAGTTATTAACAAATTATTAAGCAAATACTCTACCACAGGGTGCAGGATAATTATGAAGATGAAAGATTGTGGAAAATTTACAAATTATATCAATAGCAAATGAAAAGGTCAAGCAGAATCTAATGAAATCATCTTGTTGAGCAATTGTTTCCTTTTTAAAAAAGGAAACAATTTCAAGAGTGGTCAAGTTAAAAAAAATCCTAATTTTCTTATTAAAATTAACAGAAAAATTATTACACCAAATTAGAAAATATATGAAAATACAATTATTTGTCCACTTATTAGAGAGACTTAAGTAAAAAAATCCCTAAACAATCTAAAACAGAAAAAAAATCTGAGCTGTCACTGAGTTCCTGCCACTCAAATTTCTATTTATCACAGACTTGCAGTTTTTGCTGTAACCCTTCTCCACTGTAAACATAATCACTTAAGACACAAATTGTACAACTGTTTAGAATAAGTCAGAATGCCTAATTCATTCTCTCTTTCATCTATCTACATGCATATGCTACAGAATTAAGTGTTTCCTTATATTTGTGATGAACTGTGACACTAGTTGAAGTAAAGAACTCTTACTTAAACACCAAAGCAAAAGCCTCCAAATTTGTGAATGATTAACTATAGAGTGGTATGTGGTCACTTAGAAAGAAAAAATTTAAAACCTCAAGTAACTGTTAAGTTCCCTATCTTAAAATTAACGTAAAGGTGATAAACACCATAAAAAGAAACAACACTCCCGCAATGTAAAAAAGGCGCAAGAATTCTGGCTTACTACTTCCAGAAGTCACAATATAAAACACATTTGTAACACACTAATTTCTGCATTATTATAGTTTGTTTATTCCCATCTCCCTTCCCTTAGAATGTGAGACAGGATTATACTGCCCTTTCAGATGAGAATGAGAATACTGAGTGAGGAATAAGGTCAGGTAACTGATCTAAAATAACAATCCTGGGATAAAGCGGAAAGAAGAGTACTCAAACTCTAGAAAGCTTTGCTAAGCCCAGTATTCTTTCAACAATCTACATATAGGCTATAAAAAAAGTAATTCCATTAATTAAATTTTCAATGCATTCTTTCAGGCAGAGAAAATAAACTAAACTTTATAACAATTAAAATTATTTAATACAACAAATACAGTTAGAGAAAGAGGTTATATTGGAAAAATATTTTTTAAGCATTTACAGACAATACATATGGAACATATTGTGACACATTTAAGGAAACAAGAGCAGCACATCAGTTATCTTCTATGTAAGATGAAAATCTCTATTACATAGTAGAAATATATTTACATAAATATATATAAAAGTAGAAATACATGCAGAATCTTACCCCAGTTGCCTGTAGATGCTGCCTGAATTCATCCATAGTTGTGTTTGAGATGCTCATATCCCTAAACATTCCTTCCAGTTTTGATGTGAACTGACATCCACATTCAGTCTGTGGAGGAAAAACACAAGTATACACAAATACATATTGGATATTTCTATGAGAAAATGTAGAAAACAAATTATTCCATGTTACTGCCACCCCTGATTATCTCTTTCGAAAATCTTTCCACTAGCTGCTATATACGTGGTTACTAAACCTTATAGTGCTTAAGAATAAACCAAAGATTTTATTTGAAAATAAAAATTTCCAGGCTCTTTCAGATTCCAATATACCCCATGGAAAGTAGGGTCCAGAACTGTGTGTTGTTAACAAGTACCTCAGGTGACTCAGGACAAGCAGTTTATGAACCATTCTTTATGAAATAAAACTACTTTTTCCTGTTTTCCTTTTATTAATCCTCTTCCAGACCTCTGTGAACGTATCCTGTTAAACCAACACATTTTCCTGAAACTCTGTTCCACAACTTGAGCAAATATAAGCAAAGCTATGCCCCACTCAAAAAGAATCTACCTTTAATAGTTTCAGAAGTAAACATTCAATATTAATTATTTCCAACTGCATGTTGCTGGAGCTTGGTCATGTAATGAACAGTTAAGTCACTCCAATCCATGTTAAATATACCTTACCTTTAATTTAGATATCATATTTTTTTCAGAGTCATCAGAAACACTTTTATTAGTGAGAAGTCTCCTTGCCAGATGTTGTTTATAATAACGTTCAAATACATCTTTTTCTTGCATAAACCTGAAAAGGACCATTGCCTTATCCAATATAGTTTCTACTTCTTGTTCTGTTAGCTGTAAAATTAATTAAAAGACAATTTAACAATTATATAATGTCAGTTACATAAAAACAGCACCACAACTCACGTATAGTTTAAAAACACCATTGTTTAAAAACAAAAATATCTGGTTAACAGAAGTAATCTGCTTTGAGAATGTGCCTCATACTGCACAGAGTAGCACAATTCTTACGCTCTCATCTAATCCAACAATAATGAGGGGCTGCAGTGGAATTCCATTTCTGGAGAGCTTAAGAGATGACTGAGAGCATATGCAATTTTAGTCACAAAGAGAGTATTTTGGAAACTTCTGTTTAGTATTTAGGCAGAAACTTACATAGATTTTTATTTAAAAACCTTAATTTTGCAAACAGGAGGATAAAATGTTACTAAAGTTCAAACAGTAAAAAGGCTCCTTGCCCTTATCTCCTAAATAAGGGCAGGATGACACTGTCTTGTCAGATTAAACTTACATTTTTTGAAATGGAAGATTAAATGTGTGTGTGATCTCTATACATCCTTTCTTTCTTATTACAGCTTCTGTCTGTACAACAGCTTCTGTCTGCTTTTTCCATGCCTCACATCTTCCAAGATGAAGTTAAAAAAGACCAATTCATATGTGATCAAAATATGCTTAATTTGATTTTCTATACCTCCAAATGAGCTCAAGGTCCCAGAGATATAAAGGCTCTAAACTGAGCTTCAGCCTATGCTTTAAGCTATTTTCAGAGAGCTGTTCCTAACTATGCATTCTGACTCAGAATCCAAGTATTGTTTGATATACAACCTTTAGAATCAGATGAAAGCAGGCAACACTGTACTACCAGTTTTTTTCTATTATCACTTACGGTATATATAATTCTCAGCCATAAAGACAGCTATTTTAACAATATGCCAATTACACATTAAATGAAATGCCAAAGAACTGCTGGTCATGTCAAATACCTTAAACAATACTTTTCAACAGATCACAGTACATTTAAACATAGCAAAGAGCTTTCCTTGATTTTATACCTATAAAATCTCCTTTTTTTATATCTTCCTTTTTATCATAAGTAAATAAAATCTAATATATTTTCAAATGCATTACTACTTACCCCTTTGACTCCCTTTTTCAGCTTATCATCAATAAATAATGAGAGGTATTCAGGAGACCTGGAGTTGAGGTTGAGAAAATACTCAAAGTCACCAGCAATAGTTTGCTTAAAGAGGCGGTCATTATTGAACGATTCCTGGAGGAAGCGGTCAAACCTGCTCTTCAGATCCAATAAACCCTTACAAATTAAAAACAAAGAAATTTAGGATGCATTATAAAAATTTTTCCATTAACAATACACTTATAACAATGTGTTTATCTTAACTACATTGGTAATAAATGTGTGCGCACAGAGTTAAAATTACAGGATCAATATTATTGTCTAGATTTTATCTAAGCCCAACAGAAATGTCAGTGAAGAGTCGTCTACCTTTCACATATGTATACCGTGTTGAAAACAAAACAAAGAATGACCTAATTGCTTCTCCTCTCTTGAGCAAATGTTTCGCCAAAGAGAAAATTAAGCTTAAAAAATATACACAAAAACTAAGTAATTATATTAAAAGAATAAGTTGGAGCAGTTTAATTATACTACTGCTTGAAAACGAAACATTTTGAGACAAAAAATATTTAAGTAAACCACACTTTGTTTTTTCCTAACACACTGAAGTATTTAAACACTAACGCATATACAAGATGTATCTCACACTTGTTACTGAGACTATTTAAATAAGGTCTTATCATGTTAACAACAAAAAGCAGTTTGGCTCCCAGATGTAAATATGCACACCTTCAAAGATTTCTCTTTCTTTCTTTCATTTCCTCTTTTTTTTTTTGTTTGGGCAGTCCTAGGGTTGCACTCAGGGTTTCTCACATAGAGGCAGGTGCTCTACCACTTGAGTCACACCTCCAGCCCCACACTGAAAAATTCTAAGATAGGATAATTACAGGTATTACTTTCTAGTGGGACACAGAGCTGGAAATATGTAATAAATAAACTTAGTAAAAGTGATCTTTTTAGTACTTGTCGAAAATGACTTTATTGTGAACTTAAAAAGAGAATCTTCTGTGTCTATTTACCTGTATATAGTCAACAGGATTTTTTCCTTCTCCTTCCTCAGAAACAAGGGCTTTACCTTGCTCCCTCAAATAGGAACTCATACATTCACACATTGTCTTCAAACCATTTGGCACACGACTAAATAACTTGTACATGCAAGCAAGGTCTGCAATCAGAAAGAAAACAATTTTGTTACATTAAAGAGATAAAGGGAAAATGTGAATCTGTGTTCAAAGTAAATTTCTCCATTACCATTTGCTGACCAGGTGACTATTATAAAAAATATACGGAAAAAATGAAAAAAAAAAAAAAAGGCTACAAGTTATTACATTTTATGAGAATTTTTAAATTAGGTGCTTTGAAAGCACTAGAGCAAACTTTCAACTTACATGCAAGAGAAGATACCAAACAATGTAAACAAATGTCAAAAAAATGAGAATTTTTGACTTGCACATAGTTTAGTATACATAACAGTAACAGAGCCTACTGATACTACAAATGTCTACCAACAGGACAGCTCTAGTTGTGGTGTAACTGGTAGACATCATAAGAAGAAATTTAAAAACCAGCTAGTTTTACAGTTTAACTGGTAGCTGATCATTACAATAAAATTTAATAGAATTTACTTTATGGTAAAGTTTATGTAAGATAAACTTTATAGGAACTTTATAGGAATATAAACACCTATTCTTTATATTTTCCTCAGAGCAGTTCCTAATAAACCATGGTGGTATTTTAAGCTAGTATCTGAATTTTAAAAATAGGTCTCACTATATTGCTTTTACTTAGAAAGAAAACTCTGGCCTTTATCCACTTTTTACATTATTTTCACAAAACTATAATGCAGCTCTAAAATGTTGTTTTTCCTTATGTCTAGTGTTTTATTGAAATAATTTACTTGGAGACTATGTCAGAACTTTACAATGCTATAAAAAGTTTACTTAACAGTAACTTTTGAAGATGGAACTACTGATCTTTTTCTTTTTCTTTGGTAGCATCGGGTTTGAAATTAGGGTCTCAAGATTACTAGGCAGGTGCTTTTACCACCTAAGCCACTCTACCATCCACTGATTTTTTTTCTGTACAGCACCAGATAGAAAGTATCTTAGGATTGCAGACCATTGGGTCTCTGATGCAATTTTTCATTTTTGCCATTATAGCAGGAATGCAGCCACACAGATAATACACAAACAGTTGTGACTGTGTTTCAAATAAAACTTTATGGACATTGAAAGCTTATATAAATATTCATGCATAGTGTCTGTTTTGTTCCTGTGTTGTTGTAAGTGTTGCTCAGATATGTAGTATAGTCACTTAACTTATGTAAGTTAATTTTACTGCCTTTAACTCACTATATTTGATGTAGGGGGTAATACAGAATGTAAATGAAGAATATCTGGCACTCAATAATTAGGTATCATTACTTCTTCAAACCTAATAAACCCATAAATAACATTTGAACTTAATTCCATATTGTTATCGGCAGCTAATAAACAATTCAAATTTATCCTGCATTCATTTTTTCACTCTGTTTTATGAGAATTTGTTTTCATAAAGATGAACTGTGCCTCTTGCATATTCTCACCACACTGTCCAAGAACAGGATCTGTCACAATTAAGACATTTTGCAATTAGGTTTCTAGTAGTAACTGGTCAAGAAAACTAAGACACAATGTTTAAATTTAATTTTGAGTCACAGATAGCTACTTGTTGAAAACATTAGTTACTAAATAGAGTAAAATCACTGAAAGTAGCTATTCTACTATTCCTCAGTTTGTGTATTTATATTAGGTGGCCTGCCATGTTGGACACATCTCCTAGATTTCAGAAATGTTGTAATTCAGGTATATCCAGCAACTTCAAAGATTTCCCAGTCTCTAATCTCAATTTTAGGGGCCCATAATAAAGTTTTATAAGAACAGTCCGGCGCCTTACTTTTGTGTTACTATCTATGGCTGCTTTCTCATTAAGAGAGCAGAGATGAGTGGCTAACTAAATAGCCCACAGTTTGAAACACTTGCTATCTGGCCCTTACAGAACCTTAGTTTTAGAAGGAAACATACTACAGGATGATTTTTTTTTTTTGGTAGCACTGGTGTTTGAACTTAGGGTCTTGAACTTGCTAGGCAAGCATTCTACCACATCTAGATCTCCAGCCCTAGAAGATGACTGTTTTTTCTACTTTCAAAAAAGGTTTACTGGAGGAGTTATTTTTTAAAAAAAGAAATTTCTCTGGTTTAATAAAAACAAATTTATACAGTTTTTTAGGAACTTAAATAAAGCAATAAAACAATTTTAAAACATAAATCTAAAAACCTTTATCTAGAGATAAAGGTAGACAAATCTGTATTTTCACTACTATTTTCCATCCCCTTCTCTTATATCCTTGTCTCTCTGTAATTCTCCTTTAAAAGACTTTTTTCATTCCTTACCAACCAAGCTAATGATACAAACAGGAAGCATATCTTTCTTTTCAAAAAGGAAGTAGACGGGAGAACAACAGTGGTGACCAGGTTTATTTTTTCAACACCATATAATACTGGTTTATAGTTTCAAAGCAAAGCATCAGAAACTTAAGAATTTGTTACAGGATACTCATCACTTACATAATTGTTTTTAGGAAACCAAAGTAGTTATCATCAATAAATGCTACAGTTACCTCAAAAATACTCTTTTTAAGCTAATTTGTCCAACCATACCAGTATGGAATACATCACTATTTTTTGCATTTTCATCATCCTTATCACAATTAAACCCTAAAGGAAAACCTGCAAAGATGGAAACTTCAGATTTTTTAAAGAATCAAAACAGAAAAACTACAAGATATCTGCAGGAATAGAGAGCACTCAAACCCAATGATATACAAAGAAGTACTGGAATGAATGAGGAGCTAACTGGCCAACAACAATAAACATTTTTTTTCCTGGTGGTACTGAGCTTTGAACTCAGGACCTCACACTTACTATGGCCACCACCACTTGAGCCATGTGTGCAACTTTTAATTATTTTTCAGGCCTCCCATGTAGCTAGATTCACTACACCTGACTTATTGAGATGGGATCTTCCTAACTTTATGCCCTGGCTGACCGTGAAACATGATCCTCCTAATTTCTGCCTCCCAAGCAGCTGAGACTACAGCTGGGAGCAACCACACCAGGCCACTATTTAACTCCTTTATCTTCTGCATTAGGAGAAATATGAAGTAGGTAAACAAAGCCACTGAATTCACTAAAATAAAAAACTTTTCATTTATAAAAGTTTTATCATTAAATCCCTAAATCCCATCAAAATGATGACAAAGGTTAAGTTAATGATATGAACCACAATTTCTTGAAAACTGGCATTCATAATTTAATTCTAGGGGAATTAAAAAACTACTGGTAGCGGGAGCATAAAGATGTCATTTATTTTAATTGGTAACACTCACCTTCTGTCTTTCCATTTTTCAACATATGTACTAGCCCAGAATTCTCCATTTCCACTATGGTCTTCATGTGCTTGGAAATGAGTTCCCTCTCAACCACTTTCACAATGGGCTCTTCAGTTGATTTGTCTAGGCAGTGCATCACCCGTTCTATTTCTTCATTAATTCTAGCTTCTACTTTCTTTATATATACTGAAGCACTGTTTTCTGCTAAAAATTTCTGGCTTTCCATCTGCAATTAGGAAGCATGATTATTATTTATTTTCTAAAAACACAGTAGGGAAATATGTTTCTGCTTTCAGTGGAGTTTCTATAACTTATCATAAATCAGCCTAAATATCATAATTCATATTTTATATAATTGCTCATAATTCATAATTTTTGCCTTTAAAGCATTTATTTATGTAAGATTAAATTAACACATTATCTGTAAGCAGTGTTTTTAAAACTTTGCCACTGTACTCCAAATAGAAGCATCTGACCCCAAGTGAGAACTGGAAATTCTCCTTCGATTTGTTTTATTGTACAATAATGAACAGAAAGATGAATCACACTTATCATAAACTTCCTTCTCCTGCCACCCCACTCCCAGACTCAAAGGAGGACACATATACTGAAATTGTGAGAAACAGAGCTTGTAAATAACTATACAACATGTTCATATACTTTATAAATAAAACTTAGTAACATTCTCAATTTTTTTAACAAAAAGTAGCTTTAATTCTTAAAAATAATCAAATTCCTAAGAATTAGCACACTAAAAAAATCTTGGGTAAGACAATTCCATTCACTATTAAGAACAGTATGTGTGTTTACATATATCACAGCATATTCTGGTGATGAAGGAAATTAAACTAGGAAACAGAAGCAGGAGACATTAGAATATAAAGACTGTTTCCTAAACTATAATAACTGTTCAAAAAGTATGGTGCAGGCTCCTCAGTGTGGCCAAAAAGTTCTTCTTAATGGGGTATAAAATAAAGCTATATGAGTAAACTGACACCAGAAGTCACCATGTTCCACTTTTATATGTATCTTATGGCTCTTATGACCTACTGGATTATTTTAATTTTATATTGATTTTTTTAAAAAGTATATTGCTGGAATAAAAATATTAAATTGGTATTCAACTAAGACATGTGTTTGGGCAACACAACAAAACACCTACTGCAAACACTCAAGACAGTTTCAGCTTTCAGGAAGGATGTGTGCTCATCGTTACCTTATAAATACTGTCTTATGTTTGCCAGTACTCCATTACTGCTATCACCATCAGTTCATCACAAGTTAGTTCTAGCTTAGATTCAACTTTAGAATTTAGTTGGTATGGAGTTATATACAACTTTCAGCACTTTGCTTGGTTTTGGATTGGTCTACAATTTGCTAATCAATAACCTTTAAGGAAAATATGTACTAGTGGAGTCATGCATAACCCTATGTTTATTAGTAACTGATAATACTGAGAGCCTCAACAGTGAGACTTACATTGGTGATGTGTGACCTGTGGTAAATAATTTGTAGTACATAAATATAATAAGATGTTAATGACATTTCTAACGTCATATGTTTTCTCATAATTTTTAAAACTGCATGAAGTCCAAATTCCTAAATTTGTTATCAATGACTTCCCTTCACTGGAATGTGAGAATGTGGAGCAGGGGTTTTGTAGGGTTTTTGTACTCTCTTTCCCCAATGGGTTTCAGTCAAAATGGCCAAAATTTTCAACTTAGTAAATAACTACATTTAATAATGTTAAAAATATCTTAAAGGAGTATTTATTTATATATTCACTGATTACCTGAAAAAATTCTGCAGACATTTCCAAAAAAGGAGCCTCAAAATCTTCTTCATAGACTGATCTTCCTTCAAGACCTAAAATCATTAACATCTGGCAAGCATTTCTTATTGCGCCTCTGTCAAAAAAAGTTAAATTACTTGATAATAAAAGTTATATTAAATATTTATGTGAAATGCAAAAGGAGGCGGCAGAAATACCTTCAGAATATTTAAATTTTATCAAAGTGGCCAACCTCTTATAAGTGATTTATTTGTAACAAGGATTTAGAGTAATTTTAATTCAAAAGCATATTTTTGACTAGACAGGTATTTATCAAGTTGTTCTTACTCTGTTACAACTTAAAAGTCCTAAAGAAAATATGTTTGAGATGTCTAAATATTTCTATTTACTTTAAAATCAGAGAGACTGCTTATTGGGAAAGAGGATAAAGGGAAGAAGGTAAGACAGGTAAATTAGGTTACTCCTGGGCAAAATAAGTTTTTGCATTAAATGGTTTTTGAGCAATCCTGATCAAGAACCAACGCTGAAACAGTAACAACTTCTTAAGTTTTCAGCTAATCATAGCTCTGAGAACAGACAGAAGGTATGTTTCAAGCCACTCTAGCAACAATATCACAAAAATGGCACTGCAATCATGTTTGGGAAATAGTACTGAATATGACTTAGAAAGTAGTTCTTAGTCATTTCAGACTACATATAAGATTTTTCTTCAGAAATGTTAAGAGTAAAGGTTAGACAAAATCTCACTGGGCACAGTGGTACATGCCTATAGTTACAACTACTTGGAAGGTGGAGACCCTGATCAAAAAAAAATATATATATATATATCCCTAAAAGAACAAATAAAAATGTAACTACATAGAAAAAAAAAAGAAACAAGAAACAAAAATGCCAATATGGAAAATATATGAAAAATCAAAAGGGAACACTAATTAATAGCTAATTTGTTTTGAAGAGTATGTAAATTTTAAGTAACTATTAACTGTAAAAGGTTTTTGAAGATTTCAACAAGTGCTGGACATTATCTGTGACAGTAAATCAGTTCTTAAGATAAAACCACTAAAAACCCAAACTACAAGTAAAGATAAGTGATATACCTGTCTACAACTTCTCCTTTCCGCTCTCTTGCAATCATATCCAATAGAGTTTGCCGAAGATGATCCCTAATACACCCGTAACGTACAACTTGATCTCGAAAAATAATCAATCCCAAATTGTAGACATTCTCCACATTATTTTGTTGTACATATACACGGTCCTGCAGTTAAAATAATATAAACATGAGTACAATTCTTACAAACATAAAAATAATTAGTGACCTTCTATAATAAAAAAAAAATCTTAAAAGCAACCATTTTTCAGGTGGAAAAACACTTCAAAATCATCTTAAGCATTGTGAAATTTTCTAGAGCCTCCCAAGTTATGTAAAATTAAGTCTTTACAATGGTTAGTGAAACAAATCATGGCTACAGATGGTATCCACTTCCCTAAGTGTGGGGGTGAGGGGAGGGCGTCCTGGGCATAGAAATCGGGGCCTCACACACACCCTACTACCTGGCTAACATGCCCAGACCTCCAGGTAGCAAGAGTTTCTTTGAAAATGAGTCCTGTGCTTGGAGTTCAATACTGTCTTTCTTATGTATGCTTAACACATAACAAATTGTTCAGTTCTCTTAGTTTCAGTTTCATTAAAGTGGAAAATGAATTAGAGAAATGTGTTATGTAATCTAAAGTCCTTCTAGATTTTTGTAACTTCTGCACCAATGTTTTAAATTACCCACACCTAATTCAAATCAATATGTAGGTCTTTGCCTTTATCAAGTCTTTAACAAGCATTCACTCTAGTTTGCCAAAAGAAAAAAATTCTGTTTTTTCACATCATTTTAGTAATTTATACAATATTAAATTATGTAATAACAAGAATGACTGTCATAAACAGGTTTGAAAGTAAGTACAACTGATTTCAATAAGCACAAAACTCAATTGGCAAGAACAGAATGAAGAAGGTTATACTACAAAGAAGACTAACAGCAACAAAAGAACTTTTTATCAGTCAGGATGCTTTATAGTTAGAACAGAAAGTACTGGTAACTGCAGCAAGTTCTTCAAGCTTCAATTATGATTACCCTTTTATTTTTGATGAAAAGGCACTACCTACAAGAATTACAGAACAAAAGGTATACACAATGCAATCTTCAGAGTGAATTAAGTGTTACTGTATTTTTAATGTTTCTTTTTTGTTTTGCTTTATTGTGGTATAATTTATATCCCATAAAATTCATTCATTTTAAGAGTACAGTTCAATAACGGATAGTAAATTTCTATAGTTCTACAACCATTGCCATATTCCAGTTTTAGAATATTTGTCACCCAAAACAATACCTTGAACCTCAGTGCACTTCAACACCCATTCTCACCCACCCCCAGTATATCACTCTTCCTCTATATAAATTTCCATCTCTGGACATTTCATACAATGTATGTAATATGTAATCTTCTGTGTCTGATCTCTCTTACAAAACATAAAAGTTTCTATATGAATGAATACTATTATTTCATTCTTGTCAGTGCCAAATAGCATTCCATTGCATAGATAAACTTTATATTGTTTATTCATTAATCAACTGATGAGGTATTTTTGTTTATTTCCCCCTTTTTGGGAAGGGAATCTATTATAGCTATGTATATTTTGGGCACAATCTTTTTGCAGATATGTTTTCATTTTTCTTGGTAAGTCTTAGCAGTGGAATTACTGGACAGTACAGAAATTACCAAACTGTTTTCTGAAGTAGCTGTATCAATTACAGTGAAACTTTGGATATGAAAATTAAAATAATGGTAAGTATATTAGATATAGTTACAGATTCTTTGTATGAGCCCCAGCTCTACTGTTAATTATCATGGGACCTTGAATAAGTGTCAGTTATTCATTCTGGCCCTCAGCAGAACAAAGGGCTGGTAGAGAAAAATCTTTTAATTTTTTTAATGATTCCCTATGAAGCTTAATTCTCTGAGAAAACAAAAATTTATTATCTGTCTCCCCTGGCCTGGGTCTTCCCACAGTGATGCTGCCTCTGTACTGAAGTAGGTGAATCATAACCTTATTGCCTATATTTGCTATCTCAAATACTCTGGCAAAAAGGCAGAAAGGGACTAGGTATGGCTGATGAACTCCTCAGGTATTCTGTATGGGGAGAAGAAAGCTTCAGTACAGGAAGCCAGGCAAGATGAGAACAGTTGGAGGGTGTAGGGAAAAAACAGAACACTTAAAGCCATAGGATAAGGGAGATAAAGATGCTGTATTTACTTTTTATCTTCCAACCTGAGTGTAAATATATTAAACAGAAACATATGCAAACATTCACAATAAACGTTGTGATCTGCAAGTAAACTTGTGACCATACTACATTAAAATATTTGCTGACTGAGCATTCAGCCCGGAGGATTCCATATAAAGGGCATTTTCGTAACAGATTCTTATAGGTATCTATAAGATACCTATAAGTTCTGTACTTTTAACAACACACTGATGAGCCAAAGGTGGTTATGTATTAGTACTTATTCATCTGCACTTCTCTAGCTCTTCCCAGTTATGGCCAGTGGCAATTATTTATTTAGGCAAAGTTAAAAATGTTAGGAATAGCTATAAAAGTTGGCTTATTAAACTAACTGCCAGGGAGGTTTATCAAACTCTCAAAGAATCCATCCTTCAGTTTCTTGTCCTCATAGTAAGAGTATATATAACTATTATCATCTATTTTTTACAACATAGGAAAAGAGGAACATAAATAGACTTAAAAATCTTTACAAAAATTACATATTCATCTTGCTAGTAAATTAGAGATAACCCCCCAAAAGTTAAGCTTACCTTTAAAAACAACAAAAAGCAACATTGTAACAAGCCTGTTAGGCATGTTTGAACCTGCCTTAACAAGCTTAATCACCAGGCACTCTTTTCTATCAGCAAGTAATAAATTACAATGTTTTCAAACATTGCTCACCTTCAAGTCATGAAATAAATACAGGTTAAGAAAGGCTTAACACAATGAAGACAGAACAACCTGATATTTTCTACAGTGCGTCTGACTACATTTTTAATAAAGCACCAGCAAGATATGAAATAAATTGTATAGATAAACATTATACAACATACCTAATATATTTAGCATAAAAGCACAGGACAGTGTTTCAAAAAACCTGATGTGGAGGCATGACTTAAGCTCAGTCACAGTTTCTACCACTATAAAATGGGTTCAAAATCCCTCTCAGGGCTGTGAAGGCTTTTAATGAAAATAACATGAGTTGCTACAAGTACTGCCTATTAGAACTATGGAATTGCCTTTAAGGTCTTGGAGCAATGACCTTAGAAGACTCTTTTAGAAAAGATGACATATATTGGACAAGTGATATAATTCAATAGTTAAGAGCACTGATTCAAGAAGCACACAGCCTGTTTCAATCCTGTTTCTGTCTATCATTTAATACATATGACCTTAATAAGTCTCAGTTTTCTCATCATCTATAAAATAATATGTACCTTTTATGTTATTCCACATACTTCCACATGCAGTCTTGATAGAAGAGTTTTTGTAAGTTCAACTCCCGTGGCAAGAACAACTATAAAAGCTAGATGAAAATAAGTCACCGCACCTCACACTCATTAGAATAAGTTACTATTTAAGAAACTGGAACCCTTGTACACTGTTGGTAGGAATGTAAGATGGTGCAACTGCTGTGGAAAACAGTACAGCAATTTGTCAAAAAAAAATTAAAAACAGAATTACCATATGATTGAGCAATTCTACTCCTGGACACATACACATGAAAAAGAACTGAAAACAGAGTCTTGGGAAGACACTTGTATACCTGAGTTCACAGTAGTATTACTCATAATAGTCAAAAGGTGGAAACAATCCAAGAGTCCACTGATCCACTGATGGATAAAGGGATTTAAAAAAATATGGAGTATTTTTCAGCCTTAAAACGGGAGGAAATTGATATATATGTCCTGATGTGGATAAGTGATATGCTAAGTGAAGTGAGTCACAAAAGAACAAATACTTTATGATTCTACTTATTGAGAGGTACCCACAGTGGTCAAGTTCACAGACACAGAAAATAGAATGTTGGCTAGCAAGCAAGAAATTGGGAGGGGGGGAAATGAGAAGTTATTGTTTAATGAGTAAAGACTTCCATTTCTGCAAGATGAAGAGTTCTAGAGGATAGTGGCAACATTACCACAATCTTAAAAGCAAATCCCTGAGCCCCACTGTTTAAAAACATCAAAGAATAACAAAGGCAATCTACACTTATAGGGGCCAAAACCCTGGAGAAGAGCCAAGTATACCAAGAACAGTCCCATACTTGTCTCCACTCAGTCCCCTAGGCTATTTACCATATTTGGAGGAACGAAATTAAGAAGCCAAGTAGAAAGTCACAGGTCAAACTGGCAGGGCTGGCTACCAAGCAGCTAGGACTTATAAGGTAAATGTTCTGAAGAAAAGAGAAACACAAAGAACCACCAAAATTCTGCAACAACTTTCCAGAGATACTTACTGACATAATAAGAAACAAAAACAAACAAACAAACAAAAAAACAAACGAGAAAGTACCATTGGGAGGATAATGAACTGAACAGACTACTGGCAGACTTTTGGTGCTAGAGTATATTCGAGGCACAGTTATGTGGAAAGTAACCTGGTAAACACCTCAAGCTGAGGTCCCAGAAGGGTATGCCCTGGGTGTAAACTCATGCCCTGAAAAAAGGCAAGCTGAGAACAGATCAACACTAACAAAGCCTAAACGTGGCTTCAACCTGGTGATCTATCCATACTTTGCTAGTCTGCTAGGACAAAATTCAATTTTCTTTTGAGAAAGATATCATTCAGTGCCCTCATAGTTTTTCATATATAATACTTGCATTCAACCCAAAATTGTTCTGCTCACCTTCCCCCACCCTCTAGAAACAAAACAAAACCCCAAGAACAACCCAGGATCAAATATCTGAAAATGAAGTTTAAAAAAAAAAAAAAACCCAGGAAGCCAAAGTGTTTTAAGACTATCCTTTTCACTATCCAGAAAATGATTTTTTTTTAAAGAAAAAGGCAAAAATCTAACAATGTCAAGAATGTTCATTGTAACTACTAAAGTAAACATTAAAATAATACATAAATCTCGTAAGCTAATGAGGGGTGGGGTAAAACATACTCATTAATTGAAAACAAGGCTGAAAAAAGCATGAAAAACAGTTAAGATGAA